GCCCACGGCCCGGCCCGGCGCGCGCGCGCGCGTGGCATTCCAACCCCCACCTCAACTGGTCAACAGGGAGCCTCTAATAACTCCCTATTTAGGTTGAGATATTTCTCGCTTAAATCCTGAGGTGGTATTATTATCCTCAACATTTATTATGGGCCTTTGAGATTTAATATAATAAATTGGGCCTAGCCCAATTATTCTAACAAATCGACCGTTCAGGTTCTCAAACTTGTTCGACTGTGTCATCCCGATCTCTAAACTTGTAGATCACTTGTTTAGATCCTCCAACTTGTTCAGTTGTGTCACCCCGGTCCCTAAACAGGATGGTCTAAAAACTTTATATCAAAAATTAATTCATAACTTTTTTATGTGAACTCTAATAAAGACAAACTTTATATCAAAATTGTAGCCCTCGACGCAACCTACAACTTTGTAGTTGAAAAGTTTTTGAATTAAAACTGTTTAAGGTCCCAAAATGTTGTTGCATATTTATAGATTTTGAAATTTTAATTTTAAAATTACATTTTGGGACAAAAAATGACTTAGAATAAAAAAAATTCAACTACAAAGTTGTCGATCGCGTCGAGGGCTACAAGTTTGATATAAAGTTTGTCTTCATTAGAGTTCACATGAAAAAGTTATGAATTATTTTTAAATATAAAGTCTTTAGACCGTTCTATTTGACCCAGATGATATTCAAATCCAAGTTTAGAGACCGGGGTGATACAACTGAACAAGTTGGAGGATCTAAACGAGTGATCTGCAAGTTTAGGGACCGGGATGACACAGTCGAACAAGTTTGAGGACTTGAACGGTCGATTTACGAGTTTAGGGACCGGATGACACAGCGGTACAAGTTTAGGGACCGGTGATGGACTTTACTCTTAAAAATTTTATAATTTTTTTTAGAAAAGTCAAGCATAAAGTACTATTCATATTTTATCATGTAATAACAATAAAAATAATAATTATTATAAAAAAATTAAATAAAATGGATGGTCAAACGTTGGACATAGAAACCTACAAGTGTAAAATGGGATGGAGGGAGTATTTGGAAATGGAAGGCTAGCTTTTGTTTTAAGGCAACACCAATGCTTATGGTTCCATATGTCATATGTGTGTGACCCACTACAATAAGTATTACTTATGTCCATATCCACAATGTTTGTGCCTCTGAGAGAGAATAAGGTGGGTCCCACTGAAGAAAAAAAATCGCTTATCGCCCTCCGTGAAACTCTTTGCGTGACTAAAATCCTCAAAAGTATTTGTGTGAGCGGTAAATCACTAAAAGTATTGTATTATATAATTTTGTTGACACACGCTAAGGTCAAGGCTCACTTTTGTTGTTAGATTCTTATGGCTTAGCTCCACAATGTTAAAAATGATGTACTATTTATTGCTTACGTTACTTTTAGCATACATCGTGGTTTTACTTAGATTGTACCGTAGAAAAGATAAATTATATACTCCTATCGTTTATTTAATGCTTGGCGTTTAACTTTCAAAATAAGTCTAACCACTTGTCTTTTTTAAAACATACACAATTATTATTTATTTTAGAGTAAATTGTATATTGGTCCTGGTTTTCTTACCTATGTTGCACAATGGACTGGATGCTACCCCATGTTTTCACTTTAATACATATGAAGTTACCAGAACTTTCACCTTGGACTAGTGGCCCACATGTCATGTAGAAAGTGTTTTCTTCCATCTCTCCCATCTTCACCAACGAATGCATCAATCTCATCTTGGGCTCATGGTTAGTGACCAGCAGTCCAGCTCCAGCATGGGTGCAGCTTTGCTCATGTGATTTGCTTGGGGTTGATTCCTATCGAGGTCCGATCTTGAGCAACGCAAGCTGGCCAATGGATGGACCGATCGAGATCGATCGAGCGCTAGGCTGGAACTGGTGAAGCTTAAGTTCGTATCGAGACGTCTGTACGTGTCTTCACCATACAAGCTCGAGGGGCGCCCGCACTCATCTCCCAGTGCTAGCACCAACAACAGCGCCCTTTCCATCTCGCGCATCGCGCCAGCCGGTGGAGCGGTCGTCTACGGTGGTGCCATTTCATCCCACGCGGCGGGCACAGCTGATGGAACGGACGAGCGGTCATCTTCAAGAGGGAGGGATGCGGGCAGAGCTACAGAGGACATGCCGGTGGCCACTTGATGTTCGTGCAGCCTGCTAGGCTGCTACTGCAGCATTACTGGGGAAGAGATGAGCTCTGCCCGATCAGGATAGGGACTAATAAAGAGGAAGATGAATGGTTGAGGCTGACGTGGGTCAACTAGTCCAGATTGCATAGTTTGGTAACAAAACCTGATTCAAAGTGAAAATAGCTGTTCATTCCTAGTCCAATATGCAACTTAGGTAATTAAAACTAGTCCAAAGTCCAATTCACTCTTTATTTTATTATGATTTGTTTCATCATTATAAGTATGTTAATTATATGTTTACACATAATTTTAAATAAAATAAAGAAAAAAAAGTCCAAATTACCCCCTAAACTTTATATGGAAGTACGTTTAACACCCTAAACTTTAAAACCGTCGTACATGCTTAGCCATCTCGCCCGAGGGAGCCTTCCCCATAGTCTCGGCATTTATAGTTCTCCAACCCTTTAAACTTTGCCATACCATCCATATTACCCCCTAAGGTGATTTAAGATAATGGTTTTGTATATTTTGGAAGCTTAAACGATCAATTTTGAATAACTAATATAACATATTTGCATATGATCAGCTATAAATCATCAATTTATTCTTATATAGTGATATTATGCTTTTATCATGTTGGTACAAGTGAGAGCTAATAAGGAAAAAAATAAATATTTAAGTCAAAATTTATATATATATATATATATATATATATATATATATATATATATATATATATATATATATATATATATGTGTGTGTGTGTGTGTGTGTGTGTGTGTGTGTGTGTCCAAAGTGTATGACATATGATCAAACTCATCCAACTTATATACAAATTAGATGCAAAACCATTTTAGGGGGTTATATAAACGGTATTGTAAAGTTTAGGGCATTGAATGTCCGATTTCAAAGTTCAAGGTGTTAGACGGACTTCCATCCCAAGTTTAGTGGGTTCTTTGGACTTTTTCCTAAAATGAATTATCAAACATAAAACGGAAGAGGCTCTATTAAGGAACAATGCAGTTTCAAATTGGGTGCAAATATCAAGGGCTCATTGGCACATGAGAAACAAGGAGGAAAGGTGGATTGTTTTTCAGCCACCGGCAAAGGCAGCGCAGCCAAGAGCCCATGATGGTAAGTGGAATTTGCAACCGAGCCAACAAACAGGTTTTTATGCATGTCATGCCAGTGGCTGCCCACAAGCCTCTGCGTGTAATCGTGTGTGTACACAGTTAACCTCATGCAAAAAGCGCGTTAAAGACTTCTAGCACACCGACGAGTTTAGCCTTCTCGTAATACCAGTCTATTTCCGTTTTCTCCTTTTATAGTTGGTTCCTTTCTTTGATTCTTTGTTGTTAAGTGTGTAGATCAAAATGGCGAACATGTTTGATTTGGACCACTTACATGTGAGCTATATGACCCACCACGAGAAATTGTTCTATAACGGTTGTACATAAAAAAATTATATGTGAAAACTTTTAATATAGAAACATTTTATATAAAAAAACATTTTGAATCTTAATCCGAACCAGACAAACTTTTATTTTACAAACTTAAAATAATAAAAGAAACCATGCGGTAAAAAAAGAAGGCCAATGACAAGGGCATACGTCTGAGCTTTACCATTGTCAAGTACAAATGGTGAGATTTTTTTTATTGTGACTAACATCCAGATGGGACAAAATCTTATTTTGAGTGATTTTCGACATACATAAGGCACATAGCAATAATTGGCATTTTGAAATCCAAACAGTAAGACTATTAAACAATATTTTTAACAAACCATTTGGTCCTATGTGTCACACAAGTTCTCCTCGCTCTAACTCGCTTTCATGCGTATAAAGATTATTATATCATCACCCGCCGCCTCCATTTCCACTTGAAATCCTAGTGGGAAAAAAACACATTGCATCATCAACATGCCTACCATCATCTGCCCCCTCTTCATGAGTGACCGTGACTTCACGTGATAAGTAAATTAGCGGTAGCTACAACAGCTCTAGGCAAAGCCTCCTGCACTATGGACCCACATGACAAACGCAACGATGAGCGAGGTGGCTCCATGCAAAGAAGCTCAAGATAGTAGTTGAACGCATGATGATATTGGTGGCAGTGGTCACTGCGAGGATGCGAGATGTAACGTCAGTGGTTTCAAGTGAGGACTAAGAAGCATCGAGTTATAACTTCCTTGGTACGAAATGATTTGGGGGAGAATATAAACGGAACAACTTTTTTTATATATAAAATTGGATTGCAACTTTGAAGACGAAGATGAAGTTCAGCCTCGGAAATCAAGAAAACCATTACCGTATGATTAATTGAGTTTTAATTATTATAAACTTAAAAAATAATTTATATGATATTTTTAAACAACTTCTATATAAAAAATTTTCACACGAAACATATCGTTTAGCAGTATAAAAAGTATGCTAACGAAAATCGATGTTATTCAAACCACCGTTTACCAGTACCCCTAGTAAAGAAGCAACAAAGGGACTAATACGTCAGCATGAACACAACCTTACTAAAACTGAGGCAACAATGGTAGTCATTGTACTATACCTCAGGGCTGCCATTTGTGGCAAATACTAAAACACCTGCTAACTTTTTTAAAATAAAATGTTATCTCCATTCCTAAAATTAGGCTTATTTTTGGCTATGCGTTTGAACAAGTACTTATCTGAGTGCATATCTTATCCAGATAAAAAGTCTTTTACCAGCCAAAAGAAGATACATAATAAAGTTGCAATAGAAATTGCTAAAATATGGATGACAAAATTGGAAGCAATAAAATAGTAGGAACACATCTCATCCGGTCGTCCCTTCTTCTTCCCTATTTATTCGAATCTTCCCTCTTCCTCTCCTCTTCACTTTCAGAGCGCGAGCGAGCGAGCGAGCAACCTCCTCCCTTTTCCCCATTCGCGCGTCAACTGTCGACTGCAACAAGGTACGCACGCGTCTCCAGAGTCTCTCTCTCTCTCTCCCGATCTCCATGACTAGTTTCTTTTTTGATCTGTGCTCTTTCTTGCATTGGTTTGCCCTTTGAGATCTTTTGTAGTCGGGTGATCGATGCTGATGATAGCATTGGTCGGTTCGCTGGAAAGGATTTTTTTTGGGGGGGGGGGGGGTTGGGGATTTCTGATGATCTGAACTCTAATTAAGCAGTAGGCACACGCTAATGGATTGGGATGGCATGGGCATGATGATTCTTGAAGTTTTTCTTTTGTGATCCTCATTCACTATGTAGATGGGATGGGCGGTTGTAGTAGAGCGATTTGGTGGGGGAACTACCTTAATTAAATAATGTTTTTTTTCTCTCGAATTGTGAAATATGTTATTGCTGATCTCATGGCCCTGCATAGTGTACTTGTAGATATTTGTATTGGATATTAGGATGTTATTTGGCAATTTTGCGGCTTTTAGCACAGAGTTTTTAGCGAAAATTTTGCAGTCTGGTTTGTTTAAAAGTAATCGAAGGAAAATAATTTGTTCGGTTTTACAGACCAAGTAATAAATTTCATGGTATGTTAATGATGGGTTCATTTGTATATTCTATCCTTATATCCGTTACATTGGCGTTTACAAGGACTTATGAATAAATAAATCCATTGCCTTTGGCTAAAATCTTGCTTAATCTTGCCTGTTTCACTAACGATGTAAATAAAGAAATCTAGATACTCCCTCCGTACTCGTAAAGGAAGTCGTTTAGGACAATGTTTAAGTCAAACCTTGGGAATATAAATCATGAATAACTATCAAGTTGTTGAGTTTGAAAATGTAAAAATTATATGAATATATTTGTTTTGAAAAATACTTTCATAAAAGTATGCATATATCACTTTTCAAAAAATATTTTTATAGAAACAAGAAGTCAAAGTTGTGTTTTGGAGACCGTGTCGTTATCCTAAACGACTTCCTTTATGAGTACGGAGGGAGTACTTACTTGTAAGTCCAGCTATCATCATATTATTATTACGGTTCTCAATACAAATTGCAATTTCATGACATATATATAAATGGATCAGGATCCTCTGCAGTCGAAGTCACATGACTTTGTTACTGACATGTGGACCTGATGATCTTTAGACCCACATGTCAGTGATAAACACTCCGTACATTTGAATGCAAAGTATCTCAATCCTATATAAATGCGCAGTTTCTTAATCCTTAAATATATGACACTTGAATGCTGAAGATCAATTCTATGTTGCAAACCAACAGGGAAGATGGTGAAGATCTGCTGCCTCGGAGCCGGCTATGTCGGCGGCCCGACCATGGCGGTCATCGCCCTCAAGTGCCCCGACGTCGAGGTGGTCGTCGTCGACATCTCCGCCGCCCGCATCGACGCCTGGAACAGCGACGCGCTCCCGATCTACGAGCCGGGCCTCGACGACGTCGTGCGCCGCTGCCGCGGGAGGAACCTCTTCTTCAGCAGCGACGTCGAGAGGCACGTCGGCGAGGCCGACATCGTCTTCGTCTCCGTGAACACCCCCACCAAGGCCCGCGGCCTCGGCGCCGGCAAGGCCGCCGACCTCACCTACTGGGAGAGCGCGGCGCGGATGATCGCCGCCGTGGCGACGTCCGACAAGGTCGTCGTCGAGAAGTCCACCGTGCCGGTCAAGACCGCGGAGGCCATCGAGAAGATCCTCGACCACAACGGCCGCGACGGCGTCGGCTTCCAGATCCTCTCCAACCCGGAGTTCCTCGCCGAGGGCACCGCCATCCGCGACCTGCTCGCCCCCGACCGCGTCCTCATCGGCGGCCGCGAGACCGCCGCGGGGCGCGCCGCCGTCCAGGCGCTCAAGGACGTGTACACCCGATGGGTCCCCGAGGAGAGGATCCTCACCACCAACCTCTGGTCCGCCGAGCTGTCCAAGCTCGCCGCCAACGCGTTCCTGGCCCAGAGGATCTCGTCCGTCAACGCCATGTCCGCGCTCTGCGAGGCCACCGGCGCCGACGTCGCCGAGGTCGCCTACGCCGTGGGCAAGGACTCCAGGATCGGCGCCAAGTTTCTCAACGCCAGCGTGGGATTCGGTGGCTCCTGCTTCCAGAAAGACATCCTCAACCTGGTGTACATCTGCGAGTGCAATGGCCTCCCCGAGGTGGCCAACTACTGGAAGCAGGTGATCAAAGGTTTTAAATCTCCGGCTATAGCAACCACTATGTCCAAAGATATATACTCACTCACTCCGTTTCAGGTTATAAGACGTTTTACTTCGGTCAAAATCAAACTGTTTCAAGTTTGTCTAAATTTATAGACAAATATAGTAATATTTATAATACTAAATTAGTTTCATCAAATTAATAATTGAATATATTTTCATAATAAATTTGTTTTGAATTAAAAATGTTTCTACTTTTTTTATAAACTTGGTCAAACTTAAAGCAGTTTGACTTATAACAAAATTAAAACGTCTTATAGCTTGAAACGAAGGAAGTAGCAAATATTTGCTCTCATGTACTTCCTCCGTCTTAAAATATAAGTATTTTTAGCTTTCATAGCTAAAAGTTGCTATATTTTAGGACGAAGGTTACTAGCCGTTGTAGTTTTATTTAGCCTGTTAATTATTAACTGTTTGAAAATACCGACCGCTAAATATATTAGCCCGCTATTTAAAACGCTGCATGCAGGTTATCAAGATCAACGACTACCAGAAGAGCCGGTTCGTGAACCGCGTGGTGTCGTCCATGTTCAACACCGTGGCCGGCAAGAAGATCGCCGTGCTGGGCTTCGCCTTCAAGAAGGACACCGGCGACACCAGGGAGACGCCCGCCATCGACGTCTGCAAGGGGCTGATCGGCGACAAGGCCAAGGTGAGCATCTACGACCCCCAGGTGACGGAGGACCAGGTCCAGCGCGACCTCGCCATGAGCAAGTTCGATTGGGATCACCCGGTCCATCTCCAGCCGATGAGCCCCACGGCCATCAAGCAGGTGTCCGTCGCCTGGGACGCCTACGAGGCGGCCAGGGCCGCCCACGGCGTCTGCATCCTCACTGAGTGGGACGAGTTCAGGAGCCTCGACTACGCGAGGATCTACGGGGGAATGCAGAAGCCGGCGTTCGTGTTCGACGGGCGCAACGTGGTTGACGCTGAGAAGCTGAGGGAGATTGGATTCATCGTCTACTCCATTGGCAAGCCTCTCGATGCCTGGCTCAAGGACATGCCTGCTGTTGCCTGAATAATTAAACCTGTTCGTCGTCGGAGGAGGAGATGCACCTTGTTAGAATCTATGAGCAACTATTATATTGATTGATAGGGTTCAGCGTGTTAAACTTTATAGTTGCCATTTTATCTTGTGCCAAAAAAACAAAACCGAATAATTCAGGATGTCAATCTTTGTATCCATTTTACAATCTTATAAGAATGACATGGCTGTATACTGATTGTGTCCTCATTCCCTTGTGGCGAGTTTTTGTTACTTTGTAGATTATTTTATATCACAAGCCGTTGACCAAATTTGACCACAAATCAGTCAAGCAAGCTGCAAGCACTTGTTTGCTGAACAGATTGTTGTGAGGCCTGGTTCTAAGACGCCTGTTATTAGCTGGGACATAGCCATCGTTTTTACGAAAACGACTGTTCTTTTGGTCATTTGGTAGGCTGTATGTGTATGGAGGGAATGGGTTGTTGGGCCTTGATGTTCTTTCAACGAGGTACCCATCTAGTATTTAGGCCCAATACTTAATACTACTACATCCCAAAAATAAATATAGTTTCAGTTTATCAAGGAAAATAAAAAAAAAAGGTCCAAAAGCATCGTGAGTAAGTGCAAAAACATGTTTGGCTGCACAAACCAAACATGCAAGGCACATATCCACACATAGAGAAATTCTTGCGAATTAAATTAACTAACCTAATTTCTCCCTCTGTTGAGTGATGAAGCCAGATGAAAGATTATTTAAAAGCATTTTCATTTTACATACACTCTTTTTTCTATTGCTGTAAATAGAATTACATTTCGTACTCCCATAAAGCTAGAGAGCAGATATATCTTTTTCATCGATTATTCTTATTGTTTTATATATATATATATATATATATATATATATATATATCCTTAAAATGAATATTGTTTCTCTGGTTTGTCTTCTTTTAGAAATATACTCTTTCCATTCTCAAAATATATATATATATATATATACTCTTTCCTATATAAATATTTGACGTATAAATTTTTTTCTAACTTTTGCTTGTAGTAGTAAAAATAAGCTAACGCGTTATAATGGCCAAGCCCACATGATTGGGAAATGGGCTAGGATACTGGATTGAGGATAAAGTGCCGGATTCTGCTGTGGTTGCGCACGCGATAGGAAAAAGTACACCGAAGGTCCCTCAACTTGCCATCGAGTTACAAAATCGTCCCTTAATCATAAAACCAGATGTATGACATCCCTCAACTCACAAAACCTCACTTTAGTTCCTTCGGTGGTTTTTGTCCCCGGTTTGTCCAATGTGGCGGCTGAGTCAGCATGGAACCCATGTGGGCCCCACATGTCACGGTGACCACGTCATCACCTTCTCTCTCCCCTCTTCTCTTTCTCTCACTTTGCTCGGCCGGTGACGGGCAATGGCGGCGGCGACTTGGTGCAGCGGAGACGAGGATGGGGTTGGCGTCAAGCCCGGGGGCAGACCAGGGCGAGGCGACAACCACGCAATCAACCCTGGCCAGGAAGGACCTAGGACTGCGGCATCGAGCTCCACCCCGCGCGCAACGGCGCCGAGAGAGGGAAAGAGATCTCCAACCGAGCGCCGCGGCGTTGAGCTCGACGGAGGCCGGTGGGTTCAGGCAGGAGAGGAAGAGGTCCGGCGGCCAGCGGCCGACAGGGGAGAATAGCGGCGGTGAGTTGGGAGCAGGCTGGGGAGAAGAACGGCAGCAGCGAGAGAGAGTGGGAGGCGTGCGGCGGCCGGGGGAGACCAGATGAGCGTAGCGCGGCCAGCGGCCAGCTAGGGAGAGCGGCAACAAGGCATGTCCCCCCCTCTTGTCTTCCTCCTCCTGGCATTCTCCTCCATCGACACCGCCGCCCACTGCTGTTCATCTTCACTCCGGCCACCCGTCGCCCTCCATCGCTTCCTCCCCATGCTCCCCCTTTGCTCTTCCCCCGTGCTCCCGCCGCGAACGCCCTCACCTTCAACCGCGTCGCTATTGCCGCCTCCTACTCCCACATCGCCGCGCCGCCATGTCCTCCTCCCATGGGCTACCGTCTCCCCCTTGTGCTCTTCCGCCACGCCGTCCTCCTATCCTCTATCCCGGACACCTCCTCCGCCGCCGCCGCCGCCGCCACCCTCGTCGACGCCGGCCCTGGATTTGTAACCCCACCACCGCGCACCTCAACATCTAGTTTCTTCTCCGCCACCACAATGGTCCTGTGCATCGCTGACATGTAGGCCCCACATGGTCCCATTATTATTTTATTAAATTTTAGTGTAACTGACATATGGGCCCCACTATTTTTAAATATTTTTTGGGATCGAATGCCACGCAAGCACCACGTCATTGCCACATATGATGAAGAATTAGTCAAAGGAGCCACGTAGCGCCACGTTAGCTAAAACCGAGGACAATACCGTCGAGGGATCTAGTTTGCACTGGTTTGTTAGTTGGAGGATGTGTTGTATCCGGTTTTATGGTTAAGTGACGATTTTGTAACTTGATGACAAGTTGAGGGACCTTTGGTGTACTTTTTCCCACGCGATATGGGATAAGTGAACGAAAGATGACTCCGTTTATATCACTAGAGATAATGTCTTTTGTGAGATTTTATCTTGTTCGAGCGTATATAAGGAGGATACATTTGAAGTGAAATGAGTACTCCATCCACTCCTAATTACTTGTCTTTTCAGTTTTTCCTAAGTAGACATTTGTATTTTCAACGATCAATTTCTAGAAATTTATGCATGTTTTTAGATTCACCAAATTTCTAAAAATTAGTAGTCAAAGACATAAGTGTTTGATTTAGTACTAAGCTACAACGACAAATAATCTTGAAGCAAAGATATCTATATATTTTTCTTCTTCCCACCCTCCTCTCTCTCGCACACATTGTACATTAAAAAGGAGAGAGAAATTCGCTAAACAAAAATAGAAAAAAGAAGTGGTTGGATAAAAAAAATCCCTCCTCTATAGTAATCCTCATCGAGATCCTAGCCTACTTGTAATATTATGGGCTCATTGTAATGCCCGTGCATGTTATTATTTTTTTTGAAAAAAAGGTAGATTGCATAAACCACCTCAATTGTCATCGTCCTTGTTTTGAGATTCCACCTCATATCTCATTTTGTTGAAAAAAAAACCCATCCAACCAACACTGCTAGGCCAAAACTTCCCTCTCCTCCACACACATGAGTGCTAATTCGGCCTATTTCTTCCTATGAGTATCTAGAGCAGGGCGTAACCCATCTTGGGCTTGTTCAGCGTGGCGATGAGGTGAGTTCGACTCGAGCTCGTTCTCAACTAAGGAATGGCATTGCTTCCAATTCATAGCAAACATATCCTTCGCTCGATATCAATTTGAGAAATAACCTAATAACGAGTTCGATTTGGACTCACCTTATGGCCATACTAGACTAGATGAGCCTGACCTAACTAATATGGCTCACTATCAATCCACTTCGAACAAATGGACCGAATTAGCTAGTCACAATATGAAAGTGCCGATTTTTCTCGATAATGATGGTTGGATGTGCTTTCACAATAAAATAAGCTATGGGACGAAATCTCAAAATTAACAACAATCGAAGTGGTTTATGTAATTTTGCGTTAAAAAAATCAGGGTACTAGAAGTCCAGTAATAAACCTCGTGCGTCCTTATTTCACAACGCCCACAGGTTAATCAATGTCTTGGCACGCTCGGTCCACCATGTCCTGCCACGTGTACCCGAAGCAGCCGCCTCGCCTGACCCGAACTGACGAATCCGACCCGTCCAATCTCCATCCGACAGCCCAAACAGTCCGGACACCTCTATCCGCGGCCGCCGCAGCAAAACCAAAACACCTTTTGCACCGCACGCTCCTCCTACCCGCCTCACCGACGCGTCGGGCCCACCTACCGGTGGACCCCACACGTCAGCGACAGCATACATCCCAGAAGCGCGTCGCGAGCAACCTGCCGCGTGCCCCGCCGCATCCATCCACGCCTCGCTGCGGCGGTCCAGCCACCACCGCTGGGCCCCACGTCCTGCCACACCAACGCCGTTTCCGGATTTACCCCTCAGGGCTTCCAGAAGAATCCGCCACGCGCGGGGGGGGTGCCACGCGGGGCAATTAGCCGAAACTGCCGGGGGTAGAAGGGTAACTTCGCATATAGACGGGGCATGGCGCTATAATTGGGAAAAGGGGATCGGGAGGACAAGTCACGATTTGCCCCCAAATTCGCGATCCCCCCTTCTTCTCCGGCTCAGATTCCGGCGAGCCCTCGCCCCCGACCCCCAAATTGGCCGCGGATCCGAGCCCCCCTCGCCGCCGGCTTCCGATCGGTACAGGTTTCCCCTCCCCTCGCTGTCTCAATCGGCTCTTAGGGTTAGGGCTAGGGTTTGTGCTGGTCATGGCTGTGATCTGATCCTGGTTTGACTCGATTCGATCTGGGAGGTGTCCCAGGCTCGCGTTATGGTTAGTGTTCTTGCCGATTACGATGCTATTGTAGCCTTCCGAGGTGGTGCCCCCCGGGGGGTGTTGCTGACGTCGCTGTTTGACCGGTTGTCCGCTGCCAGGGAATAGTAAGAAAAAGCGGGGAAGAAGTTAGAAAGAGAGGACTGTTATTTTAAATTGACTCATGCTACAGTCTGCTAGTAAAAAAAAATGTAACTGAATAAATAGGAATTTATGCTATTCTGACTGAATGTTATTTTCCTAAGAATATGTGGAATATGGTTTTAATGATAGAAATAATGTAGAATTTATGGAAGTATTAGTCACTGTTGCTAGATGGTGGTGAAATGCATCAAACCAATTAGATGCCAACACATTATCTATGCTTGAGAAAGAAATTTAGCATCTGCTTAGATCGTCGTAGCTAGATAGAAAATTACATACACTTGAGGGACATGATTGTACCTCTTTAGTTTGCATTTAGAATTTGCGCACGTGAATTCAGTTTATGTGACCATTGATACATCCCACAGTGGTAATACGAATAGTTTCACCATTAAGTAGTCATCTCTTTAGATTACCTAGTCATATAAGTGATGTGACTACATTCTTAGATCCATTATCATTAGGTCAAAATGATAATCATGGACAGTTTTGTTAAACTGTACCTGGATCAAGGCAAGGAGTTAAACATATATGAAGTAGAAGAGCCTTTGGCCTTTGTTCCTAACATATGGATCATGATATGAAATGTTTAACACAGCTAATGAGCATGGAATGTTTCAGTCGAGTGTTGAGCTACTGCAGTGTACTATAGTATTGATTGGGAAACATTTAATGATCCTGTAGTGCATCCCGTTAAAATTCTCTGCATTAGCACCACTGTGTGCTTCTCTTTTATGCTTTCTACGTCAATAATAATTCGCAAGTTAGTTGGCAGTTTTGAGGTTAACTTATTCTTTATAAATATCTAATAATTTTCCTTTTTATTTTTTGGCAGGATAGTATGGTGTTTTCGCACAACAAAAATTCCAACCAGTTTGACCCTCTTTCTTATGTTAACCTGAGTGGACTAGATGCTGACAGTCAATCTGTTTCATTTACTGACATGAACTCAAGAGATGCTCCTTCAAATTCACATGTTACAGGTAGGCCTTCCATTCTCGGAAGTAAAGAAGCTTCCTATTTTTTGGTTTTCTCATTTTTATTTGTTTCAGATGTTGGAAAGGAGAATATGTTGAATAACCCAGAGGAATCAAAGATAGCAAGCACTGGTCTGAAGCCTGGTTCTCCAATTTCTCCTGAGAACTTCAGTTTTTCTTCTCTCCCAGGCAGCAGTTGTCATTTGTCTACGCTGGATCATGGCAAGCGACCTCTTTCTGATGTCAGGCCATTCCAGGTTGCTTGTAAGCGTCCGAAGCAAATAGACGAAAATACCTGGTCAACGAGCACGTTTGAGACATCCTTTTCAGGTTTGTATTTTTTCTTGTTAAAATATCTGCTGTGAATAATACGCAAGAGATATGTATCAGTTGATTATGATTGTTGGTTTCAGATTTAGCTGATGAGACCAGAGAGCCAGATTACATCTATCATAATAGTGGTATCTCAGCCTGCAATACTAGTTCCAGCATCCCTTACTCTAATCTCGAGCAATTAATTGGAGAGGAGAACTTATACTTACCTGATTGGGTGACTACTTTCCCTGGTTATACTGGAGATTTTTGGCCAGCACCTGTGGCTGATCAGGTTGATGACATTGACTCTCCTATCCATGACCACCTCCCAAGAAAAGCTGTGGCAATTGGACCTGACCACCAGGCAGACATTCCAGAATGGAGGCCTAGGATTTCGATGACCGTGCCCTACGGTTCTGGTTCTTGTGCTGATCTGTCATACAGTTCTGTTTCCACTTCAGGGTCTGCTCCCAGGGATGAGGACAGTGAAAGTGATAAGTGGATCAAGCACTGTGTCATTGAAATGCCATCCTCATGTTCTGTTGCTTGGGTTGGAGACCATGGAAGAGATTGTGGGTGCAGTGATGAGGGTTCCATTAGATGTGTAAGACGACATGTTTTGGAATCCAGAGAAAACCTCAAAAGAATATTTGGAGAGGACAAATTTCGTGAGTTAGGTCTTTGTGATATGGGAGAAGATATTGCTCAGAGATGGACAGATGAGGAGGAAAGTCTCTTTTATAGAGTTGTTTACTCTAATCCTCCTTCCTTGGGAAAGAACTTTTGGCATTTTCTCCCACGAGCTTTGCCTGGTAAAACTAGCATGGAGCTTGTCAGCTACTATTTCAATGTCTTCATGCTTCGTAAGAGGGCTCAGCAAAACAGATCGGAGCCATTGCACGTGGACAGTGATGATGATGAGGTTCCTGATGAGCCTTCTGTAACAGAGGATGAGGATTCTGCAGTTGAGTCCCCAGCACATGATTATTACGTGAACAATCCCATGTCCCCAGAGTCTGAAGACTCCTTCCATGAGAAGGTAGCTGATAGTTTATCTGGGCTCAGAGATGGACCAAGCCAGAAGCCTCTGGGATCCAACACAGATAATCCTGGAGGTGATGCCGACGTCCAAGACGAGTCATGCACATCATTTGAGGACCATAATGGAGCGCATGGATCTAATGGTGTTCAATGTGCTGAGTTTCACATGATGCTGCCAAATGCTGCTCTAGACCACTACAGTGACCGAGGTGCGTGCATGTAGCGGATGCCAGGACTCATGAGCATATAAACATAGGTTATTAGATGTTGACATCATGACAGAGCCTCTGAAGATATGGCTGATGAGGGAGATAAAGATGATTTGTATATTGGGGTTGTCAATTGTCAATGCTTTGTTGAGAATGTTGTGATGAACAGTATGACAGCAATACAAATAAAGTGGATGGCCTTGGCGTTTGCCAAATTTCGAACGCCGAGATGGTTTTGATCTTTGCTGAAGTTTTGAAATTTGAGGGGACTGCACAGCCAAAAAAGTTAAAGACCAAGTCAAGAGTTCTGCATTGAGAACAGCTGCCTTGCCTTGGGAAGTCTGTTCCTCAAAATCCTCCAACCTGTCGTCTGTCTTGGTGATGCTATGGTCGCCAGAAGACTCGACGGGAGCGATCTGTATAGTGGTCAAGTAGCTCAGTATTTTTCAAAGCCATTTTGTAAAGTAGCATTTGGGGACCAAACTGAGCTTTTGTGCGACGTCGTCTTATATTCATTCATTGTGTACTCGTCATCTTTTGCTCGTATGTGTACAACCTATTGCATTCTGTAGTTGGAGTTGGAGAGCTTCTAGTTAACCCTTTTACTGCAGAAAATGTCGTACTCATATAGTTGTATCAATTCTGACCTAAGGCATTTGAGTTGTAAGCAGTGAATAGGGTAAGTGATCTGAATGGGAGCATTACAGACAAGGAAAACGAAGAAACCAGATATAATTTCTGAAGCAATTGCTGTGCATTGGATCAAACCAGTAAAACTCAGCAGAATTTCCAACTCCTTGTCCTGATACCACCATAGTGCAGAACAATCACCACGTGTCCTGGATGTTTTTGTCAAAAAGAAAAAGCAAATAAAAATCAAATATTGAGCCATATAATTTAAAAGATCATCAGTTGGATCTTAAAGAATCAAGGGAACCTATAGATCCAAAATCGTAAAAACGTTTTTCAAAATATAATACAAAGAGAATAGCATAGAAAGAAAATGAGGATTTGAATGGTGGGCCTATCGTATGAAGATTATACCCGCTAACCAACAGAACCCAATTTTCATGGAGTTATCACATTATTTCTGAAATTTTGGGGGTATTCTATTCATCTCACTACCGACAAATGTTGGATGCCCGCCTATGCTTTGTGCTAACAACCCAGTAATAATTATGCCCGTGTGCACCGAACAAATGCAGAGGCAGGAATCACTCACATTATCTAAAACTAATCATTTTACATTACATTTGGAACCAAATTTTCCATCTCATTCTTCTTTAGCCCTAAACTTGCATTTTTGACGCTGCTATGTACTCTGACAACAATTTGCTCGGTTCATAAAAGAGGTTTAATAACCAAAAAAGGTTAATTATCGTAATTTACTGCAATAGCCCCATTCATCCCAAGTTCCCAGCAATACTATATGTACTGAAACAATGGCACATGTGCCATCAGATGGAGCTATGATGGTGAGCACTGCACTGGACAGGTCCATAAAGCTTCAGGCCTTTTCCAGGACTATCCAAGTTTAGCTGCTGCGATTGTCATCTTGCTCACTAATACACTAACTAATCAACAAGCCCAATAATTACACTCTTCAGGGAAAAAAGAAAAGGCATCCTGTGGTTACTTAACTTCACTGCTTCAGCAACTTGTCTTATTGCCTCCAAGCTAATGATGCACCTATAATTAACAAAAGATAACCAAGAAAATGTAATTCAAGCTAATGATGCCGAGATGAATTAGCCAAAAATAACCAAGAAAATCAAATCAATAAGTTGAGGTCGTCAGCTAGAACGGTCAAGACCTCCCAATTTAGGGTTCTATTCTCACCTTCAGAAGTCTCTTGGCTGGCCAGTAAGCTTCAGCTCACACGCAGGTTACAACAGTCCATGTGTCACAATGGCAGGAGAGTTTGTTTCCTGGACACACATTTGATGCAGATCTGGATTTGTGCAAAAATAGACTGTCCATGCTGAACCGGACCAAGAAAAAAAAGTTGCTTTCAGGCAAAGGTATGGACAGATGTTCTTTTGCTGAGCACACATTTGTTGAACCACAAATAGAATTCTTCCTGCTCACCTTTCAGTTATCATGTGTACTTTCTTTCTCACATATCTTTCTCAGCATGATCCTTAGCAGTTGTCAAGATGCAAAATTAAGGCCTTTGGAGGGAAAATTACTTCCTACACTCTGGCCTGTGGGTTTTCAGCTATCCAAGGATGTGATGTGCTGTGTTTGAGATTTTGAACATTAACACTATTTAAGGGATTGAATTATCACTATTGTGCTTGGATTGATTAGCTATCTAATTTTGCTACCCCAAAGTTAATTCTAACTAATCTCATTGTCTAATTTGATGATGAAGGATGTACTGTGCATCACAGGTGGGTGGTGTCCATTGTAACTAGGGAAGGACTGACTTTGCACTTAAATAATCTGAACTACAATCCCAAGGTTAGGCCTAATTCACCAAAAGGCCCTGTTTGGAATAGAGGAATATCATAGGATTTTCCCAATTTCCACAAGAAAAAAAGGAAAAAAAATCCCACACAATAAAGTTTCGAATAATTTTTGGCAACTAATTAGGGCCCCTTTGATTTGGAGGAAAAACATAGGAAGTTTGGAGGATTTCAATCCTATAGGAAAATTTCCTATGAAGCCTTTTAAAACAAATGATCTATCCAATCCTTTGAAATTCCTATAGAATGGACAATCCTATAGAGATTTTAGAGGAAATTTAACAATAGCTTCAACCTCTTGGTAACTTTTTTTTGAGTCTATATCTCTCATTCAATTCCTGCGTTTTTCATGCGGTTCAATCAAACGGTCATTCCTGTGTTTTTCTTGCATTTTTACAATTCTCTGTTTTAACTTACATTCCTATTAAAATCCTACGTTTTCTCAATCCTGCGATTCAAATGGGCCCATAATAGTATGAATTCCTACTTGCGGCAATTACTACCTAATCTCTAGGAATGATAACAAGCAAAAACACAAATTCAGTGGTGAACTATTACTGAAAGTGGATGTAGATGTGAACTTGTGCAGGGCACATAAAGTGTGGCAAAGGTAACTTCTAGCTATGTGTAGTATCTAGATAAGGGTATGTTCAGATTCATATGTCCTTCCCAAGTCTAGCAGTTCAGCAATGGCAGGCAAGAAAAGGACATGAACAACACATTGCTTAGGCAGACCATGATTAGTAGGTTGGGTGATAAACTACTCCTATGATGTTGCTGCAGCCTTTGATGAAACAGAAGAGAGTTCAGTATGTTCAGAGAAAGTGATCTGTGTTCCATCCAATACTAGTACTACCATGGCACTACACTAACACGCATAAACTGACATCATAAGTGGGTCAATTGCTTCATGCACTAATGTTTCTTTAGCACCAATCTCTGCCTGAAGATCTTGTTGCTGGTTGGTTGTTTCATCACTGAGCTAACCAACCATATCACACACACTACAGTGTACTATCAATTTATCACCCCTGGCTTTTGCAGCTCCTGAGCTTTCTTTCCATCAGTCTGTTCTGCAAAGCCTGCTGCAGCTGCTCTCTCTGTTTCACGGTTAGCAGTACTACTACAGTTTTAGCTGCCTCCTAAAAAATATACTTCATTTTTATCTCACACGTATGTATACTTCAGGCCTTGCTTCCTCCAACGAATCACTAGTTATTCTTTGTGCATTTCTTACCGTGTCAGGTATGTCAAATAGAGAAATGAAGAGGTACTAGAACTCAATGCAACCAACCATTAGATTAGTATCATTATTCCTGCACTAAGCAAACAGTATTACTACATTTTATCATACTAGCTCAGTATAAACTGCTACTGCCAGTAGATCATCTGAATCGGAGTTAAAAGAAGCATGTTACTTCGCATTGACTCAAAGCTGTAGCAGTTATATGCAGAAGTAGCAAAGAAACAAACGAGGAGATTAATTTCAAGACTGAGAACATTTCAACTGAAATCTTTTCTGGAAGCATTTCATTGTACCAGTTCTCAATTGAGATCATATGATGTTCTTATTTTCCTCCCAATGTGGAGCAAAAACAGAACAGAGCTAACAAAAAGCACTAAATTCAAAACAAAACTGGTCGAAAAATCTGGAGTAATTAACTAAAGACCTAACAATATAATTATTTAATCCCTCATGATCAACTAAGCTGAAACTCCAAAAGAATGAATTGAATCTGAATCTGTACATACCCATGCTCTCCCCAAAAAATGTCAAAACTTGGAGGAACCAAAATTAAGCTTCAGCCATCATCTCCTCCTAATTAAGCTTCAGCCATCATCTCCTCCTGGAGCTGGCAGATTGAGATCAAGAAACCTGTCGGCGAGCAAAGGTTGCTCCAGCTTGACAATGCCGTCGGCGTGGCCGCGCTCGTAGAGCTCGCCTGCGATCGAGTGCGACCGCTTGTGCCCGCCGAGAGCCTGACCGGAGCCGAACTCCTTGGAGCAGATTGGGCACACGAATTTAGTTGCTTTCTTCACCGTCTTCGAGATGGTGGCCGCGCTGATCATGGTGTCAGCTGGTGACACCGACGTCGAGGCAGAGCTGAACGATGTTTCGATGCTCGGCTCCGGCTGATCGGCCGGAGGTTTGACAAGGCTGCAATTGCTGTTTATACGTTTGTGGCTAGCGCGGTGGCCGCCGAGAGCTTGGTAGGACAGGAAAGCCCGGCCGCAGCCGTGGCACTCGTACCGGCCCCGCTTCTCGCCGCCGGCGGTGCTCGCCGCACCCGTCGTCTTCCTCCTCTTCTTGGTCCTGATCTCGGTGTCCGCGTACGGGGAGGAGAGGGACAACTCCAAATCGTCGTCGGAGACGGCGTCGTGGTGGTGGTGGTAGCTGCTGTTGTACATGAGAGATGAGTACTCGTCGCTTGGTCTCGAGTTCCATGGCCGGCCGGTGTCGCGCGACAGCATCACGAGGCAGAGGGCGACGTCCTCCGGCTCCTCGTCGACGACGAACTCGTCGCGCACGGGCGCCGGCACGCGCATCGACCGCGGCCGCCGCCTCGGAGCCGCCATCACCAGCATCTCCCGGTCCCGGTAACGATCGTCGCCGCCGCCGCCGTCCACGTCCACGCCGACATCTTCGGAGTCGTCGGCGTACGCCGCCCCGCCTGCCGGTGGCGCATGGCTGCGCACGCGGCCGAGCACCGGCCGGCACGACGACGACGACAGGAGATCGCCGCCGCGGTGATGGCACGCGTCTCCATCGTCGTTGTCGCCGCCGCCGCCGCCGCCGCCGGAGCCCGCCGAGAGCCGGCGCGTCTTCTTGGGATTCTCCCTTAACCCATATCCGCCGCCGCTCTGCATCCACCGCCGCACCGTCTTCCCGTCGCCGCCCTCATCGTCATCGGCTCGCTCGTAAGCCGGCGCCACCGCCGCCGCCACCGCGTCCACCTCCGTGAGCGAGTGGGAGCGCATGTGGCCGCCGAGCGAGCGGCCACAGGCGAACCCCTTCCCGCACACCTTGCAGCTGTGCCGCGTCGCACTAGCACTACTAAGCACCACCACATCGTCGTCGTCCATGGCGGATCAAGAAACCAACCAACCAGCGAGAGAAGTCGAATACTCGATCAGATCAAGAAGAAGAAGAACAATGTGAATGATGAAAAGGCAATCGAGCTAGTGAGAGGGACGGATCAAGATTGAAGAAGCGGTCAAGCTAGCAGCAAGCTAGCTGGAGGAGGAGGAGGAGGAGAGGATCCATGGAGCAAACGGGGAGCTAAAGTAGTACGCAGGAGTAGATGGGAGGAGGAGGAGGAGGAGGAGGAGGAGGAGGCGATGCGATGGCGAAGGGTAATGCGGTTGGGGAGGAGAAATCTATGCATGCAAGCAAGCAAAGTTAGCAAAAAACTGACAGGAGAGAGAAAACAAATCGATGGATGATGGATCCATGACAAACTCCAAGCGGCCTCATTCACAGCCTTGGAATGGAAGCTTCGTGTGCAACAGCTTAGCCTCGATCGTCCCTCTTAAATTTAGGAAGAGATATGTTGTTTGGGATATCCTTCATTTTCTTTCTTCTTCTTGTTACAGAAGAATGTGTTTGATCGTTCTGTTTCGACGAGCTATCTAAATCTCAGTAACAAATTGCTACAAATTAGTGAACTGATTATGTATAAAAACATTTTGTACAATTATGGATAGGTATGTTAAGTTTTAATCATGCGTATGAATGTCTCTACAATACTAATGTTAAATATTCAATCGATTTTTGTTAAGATTAATGTTAAACATTCAACGGAATAAAGCTATGAAAAGATGACACTATGGCTCACAATTTAATAAGGAAAAAGTACACCGAAGGTCTCTCAACTTGTCATCGAGTTAAAAAATCGTCCCCTAACAGCAAAACCATATCTACGACATCCCTGAATTTACAAAACCATTCGCTTGAGGTCCTTCGGTGGTTTTGACCCCGGTTTTATCCGACGTGGCGGCAGAGTCAGCGCAGGACCCACATGGGCCCCACATGTCAGCGTGGCCACATCAGCCTCCTTTCTCTCTTTTCTCCTCTTCTCTCCCTTCCTCATCTCTCTCTCTCTTCCTTCTTTGCGAGGTCGATAGTGCGAGGCGGGAGAGGAGGAAGGAGTAGGCGGCCAGCGACGGGCGACGCGGCGGTGGTGATGGCGACAACGGGCGACGGGAGGAGCTGCGGGCGAGCGGTGGAAGGAGCGGCGCGCAGGCTCCCCCGCCGGCCGCCACCCATGAGGCCTACGAGGTAAAGAACAGTGGCTAGGGGAGAGGAGCGGTGGCCGGGGGAGAGGAGCAGCGGCCGGCGGAGTGGAGTTGGGCGGCCCCTCCGTCCCCATCGTCGCCGCCAACGCGGTGCTCGAGGCGCTCCCCTTCCCGTCCCAGTCTCCTTCGCTGCCTTCGACTCGCTCCAGCTCCTCGCCTCCCTCTCCTTCCCCCACCGTTCCCATCCCCACCGCCGCCGCCCACCTCACCGTCACGGCCTACCTCGCCATCTCCGCGCCTGACTTCGACGCCACGGCGGGGGTCCTCTTCGCTGCCCCGGCGGCCGTGCACGCCACGCGATCGAGGAGGGTGGGGCCACTACGCCCGCCTCCGACGAGGTCGATGCTGTGGCGGACCGGCTAAGGGGGCTGTGGGGCAACCGGCCCGTGGCGGAGGAGCAGTCCTCCCGTGTCGTCGTTGCCGCCGCCGTGTCGCCCGCCGCCGCCTCCTCCTCTCCCTCCTCGCCCCGGCGGCCTCCTCCCCAGCTATCGGCCGGGTTGCCTAGAGAACAGGAGAAGAGAAGAGTGAGAGAGAGAGAGAGAGGAGGAAGAGAGAGATGATGTGACAGCCTGATATGTGGGGCTCATGCTGACTTGGCCGCCACATAGGATAAAACTGGGATCAAAACCACCGAAGAATATTGTGACCGGTTTTGATTAGTTAAGGATGCTGGATATCAAGTTTTGTGGTTGGGGGGGGGGGACGATTTTGTAACTCGATGACAAGTTGAGGGACCTTCGGTGTACGTTTTCCATTTAATAATTATTTAAACGGGATAATTTAATGCTAAATAATTGACAAGGTGATATAAAAAATATCAGTACATAATTTTTTTTTCAAATCCAAATGACTATTCCCTTCGGGCTGGTTTTTTAGTTGTTTCGGACACAATTTCAAAAACCAATAATTCATTAATTCACATATTTCAAACTTCCTTACTTAACATGTGTTCCGTTTATATTGAAATTACATTTGTTTTTTTGATACTAATTTATATTTCATTTCTTATTACTATACATATTTTTTTTGTTAATATACAAATGAAGTTTTTTTTACTAACTTACATTTTTTAGCTAGAGTTTGTGCACAAAAGACTGGTAATTTTATTTATTATTATTATTTTTACTTAAAAATCAGACTTTTTCGTTTTACTTAAGGTGGACCCTTTTTAACCCAACAACTAATGATAATTGTTGATGTGAACTCCCGAGGGTTTGTTCATCTTTCGATGTGAGGTGGGGAATAACTCGATTGGTGGATGGATGACTTAGGCCCTGTTTGATGCATATATGGAAGGTGAGGTGAAGGGCCCAATAAATGTATTGGGATGGGCCTTCATTGTCACGCCCTTAAGTTCCCCTCCCTTGCTTTAATTTCATAAAGTAAATCGTCCGAAGAAATGATTTAATTTAACCTAGAGATGAATCCCTAATTAATAAATGCAAATAATAATTGGAATTGACATGTGGAATTTTTCTTGGATTCTACATGTCAAAATATGCTAACATGATTTTTAGTGGAATTTTCAGAGCCTTGGAAATAATTTTAACCAATTAAAAATGAGCATGTGCAATATATAAATCCCTGGGAAAATCCTTTTTCCCTTTTGTCTTTTCTTTTTCCTCCTTTTTTATTTTTTTGGCCCGCCGGCCCATTTCTTCCCGCGCCGGCCCGCTCTTCCCTCCCACTCCCGAAGTTCACCCGGCCTCCCTCTCCCCCTCGGGCGCTGACAGGTGGGGCCCACCTGTCAACCCTTCCCCCACCTCCAGCCGCCGGCGCCCCACCTCCCCATGTCGCGCCGCAACCGCCGCTCCACCTCGCGCTCCCATGCCTCCTGTCTTCCTCGCGCACCCGTGCCCACGTCGCCGCCCTCCCCACCGTTCCCGCCCGTGCGCGCGCCCACAAATGGGCGGGATTCGATTTGAATCCCTCCCTCTCTCTCTCCCTCCACTCCCCCACGTCGCCGGCCAAATAGGGGCCATTCCCGGCCACGTCCGCCTCTCCCTCGCCCATAAAAACACTCGCCCAAGACTCCTCTCCCATTTCCCCTTTTTGCCACGCTTTCCCACGCTCTCTAACGCCGCCGCGCCGTTCGCTGCTAGTGCCGCCGCTCGCCGCCGAGCTCCGGCCGCACGCCGCCGCTGCTAAGGCCGTTGCCACGCCATGCAACCGCCGCCACCAGCTTTGCTGTCACGCGAGCTACCCCGTGCACCGCTCGATTGCCACCTACCGCCACCGCACCGCCCTCCCCACGTGCCGCTACCTACCGCTGCCTCCAACCGCCGCTAGCCGTCGCTAGTGCCATCGCCGCGCCGCTCCGTTGCCGCCTTGGCCTCGCGATGTCGAGAGCCGCCTCGTGCACCCCGCGCACCCCGCCGTCCGCCGTCGTCTTCATCCACGCTGGCCGAGTCCCCGGTGAGGACTCCCTCCCCCTCCTTTTCTTCCCCTTCCCCGCTTGTGCCACCACCTTTGGCCGCGCCGTCGCCTTCGGCTGACGCCGCCGCCTTTGCGCCATCCGCCGCCGCCGGTTGCCATCGCCGACGACCCTGCGCGCGCGCCGCCGCCCTCGTCATAACCGGCAGGCCGGCTTGAAGCCGAGCCGAGCCAAGCGTCCTTCGTCCTCCCCTTTGATCCACCGCCTGGTGGGGCCCACCCGCCAGGCCACCACCTCCTCCTCTTGTGCCGCTGACCCATGGGTCCCACCTGTCGGCGCCGCCCCCCCTTTTCTGATGTCATCCAGGATTAATTATTGCGCAATAAATTGATTAAGGACTTTTCTTTATTAGTAAAAACACAGATAATCTTTTAAAAATTGTATCTAATTCATCCGAGCTCCGTTTAAGTCCATTCAAGTCTCAGTAAATCAAGAAAAATCCCTAGCATCCATTAAAAATGGTTTTGTTCTCTGTTTCAGTAGTCTTATAGCCTATTTTGCTTGTGTGCTTTGTTTGTCGCGTAGATTTCGGCCGTTTCGTCGATCCACGGTTTCTCGAAGATGTTGCTGTGGTCTCATCAGTGCGAGAGCAAGGCAAGTCATGCATTACAATTGATCATATTGTGCCCAATTTACAAAAGTCCCACATTTCTATTAAATGTTGTATTGTTTTACAATATCATGTGGGATGGGTCATTTTACTCAGCCATATATTGTTTACCTTATGCCATTGATAACTTGGGTATTAAAATGACTAGATGTTAGTTTAGGAAATGCTTAACCATGCTTAGTTCAACTAGTACACAAAGGGGGAATCACATTAATGCATAGACATTGATTATTGGTATAGCTTTGGATTAGTGCCACCGCAATGGTGTTAGTTAATTAAAATACACTACATTGTGGGCTGTGGGTGCATGGTTTTGCTAGTCGTGCCCATGGCGATTAAGGATCGGTTGCGCGGGATGCCCTGGAAGAACTTATCGTACTTACCACAAGCCAGCGTGGGTAACGGCTGGGCTTGTAGTGTAGCTTTCCTCTAGCCGACGTACCCAGGCAAGGGTGGGCATGATGGAGTTGGGTCGGCCGGGGTGTCCGGTTGATTGGCTTCCGGATTCACCGCGGCACGAGAGGGGGGCTGCCGGTTGCCTGCTGGGGACGGGGGCAAACCCTGAGGTGTGGTGCGATCGGTTAGAGGGGGTTATGCGAAGGGTCCTGTCACGGCCTCTTTCCGGTATGCCGTGGTGGTATGTCGGCGCACGGAAACGTGTCGTGGGGCTGTCTTGTAGGTACGATTGTACACCTCTGATCAGAGTAAAACTATTTGAATAGCCGTGCCCGCGGTTTTGGGCGGTCAACCAGATTCACCGTGATTAGTCTCACCCTAGTTAGCTAATGGAACTGGTGTAGTTCAGGTGGTTGGTTTGAGCCTGTCTCAACGTGGTGTAGTGTTGAGCAGTGATTGGTTAATATGGATTAATTACTACCACCGTTTTACTGCTTTCAACTACTGCTTTTAAATGCTAGCTTTATGCAAAAGAACCTTTAGCCTCCCTTGGATACATCTTGCATCATACCTTCTCTTCCGGTATGACTTGCTGAGTACAGTGGGTAGTACTCAGTCTTGCTCTCTTTTCCCCCACACCAGAGTTGAAGTTCTTCTCAGTTGGAGATGTCTCGAAGAAATTGGTTTCGTCGCTGCCGTCAAGGAAGCCTGTGTATGGAATTGCTCGCTGCAGGAGTCAAGTCTTCAGGCTTAGCTCGCTTTTATCTTTTCCGCTGCATTTGTAATCTTTTATATTTTTGTAAGGCGTGGATCTG